ATATGATATCCCGCACTTTGATTATATGGATAAATATATGTTAAGTATTATAAAAATGATGGATATATATATATATATATATATATATATATATATATATATATATATATATATATATATATATATATATATATATATATATATATATATGTTAAATATATTGTGTAAAATAATATGAATGTAGATGATTGGATGTTGATTCCTAGAATTCAATGAATTAGATGATGCTGCATGATTACATAAATTTTGTATGTAATTTTGTAATGTTGTCTTGTGTTCTAGATGGTCTCTTCTTCTAATGTTCCATAGCTTTTATTCTGAATTGTAGTAATTTATAAATTGTAATTCTACATGAATTCTTTTTCTTCATACTAAAATTCCAATTTACGATTTTATTTTTTTATTCTCAATTTTAGTTATTCATAAATTGTATTTCTACTAAAAACTCTCATTATTCTTTTAAAAGACCTCATTTTCCCAAAAAAAATTAATTAATCTTTTGTTTTGTTGGACTCTTCCTTTTTTTCTATGAATTTCGGTTATTTCTAAATTGTATTCTACTGTAACTCTTATTTTTCTTTTTATCCGTTAATGTAAAATTTTCTAGCCTCTAGAGTGTGATGGATTTCTATCGAGTTTTCTTAATGATATCTATACCATCTAAAAAGATGCTAGTGGTGGTGGTGGTTCTGCCACATCCATCTATTTGACAAGTGGGGACCACCATCTATCTTGTGGATCCATCATTGTTGACCAACAATGTACTAGAGTGAGAAGCTCTATTTGTTTCATACACTGTACAACACAATATTTATCCTATCATCATTAATCAGAGCTTGAGAGGTGATGAATTAGTTTTAGTTAGCTCATATAATATAATTGGAGCTTGCTTCAACGCACAGGTATTTTGCTAGTAAAAGATAGATAGATAGATGAGCATGGCTTCCATGTTACCTTGTGATATTCTATGAGAGAAGTTTGCACAGCTCCATTAATGGCCCCAGGCTCCCCCTCCTTCCACTACTCGGCACTAGTTCATTTGGATTTGCTCGTTGCGTGATTGAGGAAAGACGGTGATTCATCACCACTTCCACAAATGATTGGTATTTGATCTTGAAATATCTCAGACCATTCACATTACACCTAGGTGATATTCAGCCCCAACCTGTCACCTAGGAGATTCCTCTCCACATAGGCAACTAGCATACCCCTAGGAAAATCTCCGTCTCCGTATGAGAAACGAGTGGCACTGTTAGAGCATGTAGGAGAAAGAGAGAGGGGGAAAAGGACCTGGTAAAGTGCCACAGACGATGAGGCCATCGCCGTCGAGCTCCATATCCACCATCACCACCTCAATCTGCACCAGCTCTAGAGCAGGGTTGGAAATTTCGGTCATTTCAGTGACCCCCGATACGATATTAATTCGGTCGAAATTTTTGAATTTTTTTTCATGAATTTGGATAATATTTGTTCAAATTCAACTAAATTTATTCAAAATTTTGGACCGAAATTTCGGGATTTCGGTGACCCCCGATAGAAAACCCTAAACCGATATAGTGAACCCTGCTCTAGAGGGGTGGCCGGTGGCCCTATCTGTGAACCAACAGTAACAGAGCAACACTATCGGTTATATGCTTTTTCGCACCCAATCCCACCCAAAAGTCCTAGAACCTATCAGTAGGGATGAAAACGGATGGAAACTAGCTCTACTATATTCGTTTTCATTTTTTTTGGGGGGGGGGGCGGGGGGGGTGTATCTGAATCGAACCCGGATACGGAAATGGAATAGAATATTATCGAATACAGACTCAAAGTGAATATGGTAACAAATATTTACTAGAAAATAAAACCCCTCAAATTGAGCTTCCTTAATCAAGTAAGAGATATCGCTTGTTATTTTTATGAAATAAGATATCAACATCTTCAAAATTTATATTGTCAATTTTGTATGTAGTCTCACAATCATATGTGAAAATTTATTTTCATAGTTGTTCCCCTAAGAGACTCGTGTGTAAATATGATTATACACTTCCTAGTCCCAAGACCTCTTACTTCATGCATAGATTACTTACAATATCACTTATCAAGTTTTTGTTGTGTAGATTGAAGATGCTATCTATTTTATTTCACATCTTCGAAACTCATAAAATGGAGCACGTCTCCATTTGATGTTGTTTGAATTGTAGATATGAGATTTTGTAAAAACAAATATGGTATTTTGTAATGAATATCTAGACCCCCTAAATGATCTCAAATAATAAAATTTTCAGCAACAAAGTTGTAGATCCCGTCTAGCTATACAATTTTGATATAAAGTTTATCATCATCTGACTTTGTATGAAAAAGTTACGTATATATACATGTTTTTTCAAAAAAATTGATCCTTGTCTACGGATATCGAAAAAAATCCAGATAATTTCCAACTGTTTTCTGATTCCAACGGATAGTGTCCTTATTGTGTTTGTTTTTGTTTCCAAAAAAAAAAACAAATTCGTTTTTGAATCCAAAAATATGCGGAACTGTGTTCAACTGAACCTATATGGTTCCCAAAAAACATCCGGACAGAGACCTATATATATGTTTCCCAAAAAACATCCGGACAGATGGAAAGTATATGTACCAATTCCATCCCTACCTGTAGGTTTAAGCCATGAACCAACATTATTACTTAAAGTTGTGTAGACATTAGTGATACTCGAATTGCTTTTTCATATGAAATTGGTTATGACAAACTTTACATAAAAATTGAAGAGAATGAAGAGATGATGACACTTTTTTCATTTGAGAACGTTTACATGCTTGGATATGTATTAGAAATTCTCAAATTTATTGGAGTAGTTTATTTTTAAAAAAATTTCAAATAACTTCGAATGGAGAGAATATCTATAAAAATTTTAGATCTTGATGAGATCTATAGCTTCTTAGTTGACAATATTTTTGTTTGAAATCATTTAATGCCTAAATATACCCAAATGTGCATATACCGTTAGATACAAATCGGAGAGCTGAGATTTACCGGTCATTTATGTAAATATAACACTTAATTAATCCCAACCAACCCATCCAAACCTTAGTCCCAATGCTACCACCACCCCTATTCTCTCCACACCACCGCTGCCATACCTCTCCTCTCCTACCATCGCCTCCTTCCCTCTTGCACACCGTCGTCATCACTACCCCCCCTCCGCCAGAGCGGTAGTGGCCAATGTTGTGTGGAAGAGGACGAAGGGGCGGTGGTGGTGCATGTGGTGGGGAGGAGGTAGTGGTCAATCTCCTCCCTCTGTGTGTATATCTGTCTCCCTCCTAAGATCCTGATCGAGTAGGTGGCTGTGTGATGGGGAGGATGACATCAGGCGGCGGTGATGGGCGAGAAGGACAAGGGGGCAATGGCCGATGTTGTGGGCGAGGACGAGGGAGTAGTGGACAGTAAGGTGGGAGCTAGATCAAATTGGCCCCGAGCTAGGGATTGCCAGATCTAGCCCATGGCAGTGCGGTGACGACAGTAGCTCGGATGATGCAGTGAGGACGGTGGCTCCTGTAGCACATGTGCGGTGGCCGGTAGATCCGCGACAGGCACCGATGGATCTGGTGCCACCGAGTTCGTCGTACTGACATCGTGGAGGTCTTGGAGGAGTGTCGCCGACCATGTGAGTTTAGTTGATATTTTTTAGGTTCATCATTGGATTGATGTCGATGTGAAAGAGAAAAGTTTGTATTTGTGAGATTTATATGTTGGATCTCTAGAGAAAAATTTGTATTAAAGTGCGCAGCTACTGAACGCGTAAAAAACTGAAGCAGTGCATGAAAAAAATGAGTATAAGCGGTAACTTTCGTTTATCAGAATTTTATTGTAATTTATAGGAATTTTCACGACGATGTTGAGTACTTCAACGGTTGAACCTCATCATATACTTCCACCACATTTTATAGGAATTTTGTAGGACCTGTAAGAGGTCAATCAATACTAACAAATGGCTTTATATATACACAGGAGAGAGAAGCATTTCATTTGTGAGAGCGACCGCACCGTGTGAAGATTTTTTTTTTAATTTTTTAGACATTTTTATTTTTTAATTTTATTAATAGACCTTTTTAAAAAGTATTTTCAGATCTAAACCTTTTCGCCCACGCCACGTGCAACTGTCATGGCAGTGCTATACTATCATGCCAGCCTCTTGCCACGTCACCGTGGCTGGCGTGGCAGGACAACGCTGTGGCCAAAAGGTTTAGTTCTCGAAAATATTTTTTGAAAGGTCTATTAATAAAATCAAAAAATAAGTCTAAACAATAAAAAAAATTCCCACGTGAACGGCGACTACCATAACTCATTCCATTGTTTTAAGTCACATAATTAATCGAGGGCTGCTATACAACAGAATCTGATTGGGACGGGATGATACCAGTTAGATATCATGTCTTGGTACCTCTGAGGTATCATGTCTTAATACCTAACCGGTATCAGGCGATTCCTATCACATATCAGGTGATACCTGTCAGGCATCAGGCGATTCCTACCACGTATTAGATGATACTTGCGAGATATCAGGAGCCAGGCACCAAAGTGTCGTCACTAGTGGTCCCATCGTCCACGTCCCACGCCTGAGCTCGTCGGCGGCGGTCGCATCCTCGACAGTCCACACCACAATGGAGCTTGTCCCCGGCGGCCGCTCCTCCGTCATCCACACCCCACGCCAGGCTCGTCGCCGGCGGCCGCGTCCTCCGTCGTCAACGCCCCACGTCGGAGCTCGTCGTCGGCAGTCGCGTCCTCTACCATCACGCCGGAACTCATCACCCGCATCGCTGCATATCTTCTCCGGTGGTGTGCTCCCCGATGGAGCAGCGAGGCGAGGCAGCATGGGCCTTCTCCAACGAGCTCCCTTCTCTCCCTTCTTCCTCCGCTGCCCCAACGCTGCTCCACAGCCGCATGCATGCGCTCGTGCTCTAGGGAATGAGGAGGAAGACGATACCGTCGCAGGTGCTAGAAACGGGATACCGGTATCTAGCTTTTCCGATAATTAATTGCGAAAATCAGAGGCTGGCAGTATATATTCACATCCCACCACCATACGGCACCACCCCAGCGAGTTAGCCTTCCCCCGCGAGGCAGCAAGACCAATAATTGAAGCCATCAGTTGGGGGCCATTTACAAGGCAGGTGGCAAGTGAAATACATCTCAAGATTTGGATGGAGAGCTATCACCAGAAGACTAGAAGCTCAAGATTTGGATGGAGGGCTGGCACCAGAAGAATAGAAGCTTGATGGAAACCTTGGTCATCTGGAGAGTTTTGGGCTTCAGCAGTCACTTCTTTCTGCTGGCTTGATCACGTTTGTGTTGAGGATAGCTTTGCTGGGTCACTTCTGGACATAGGTCCTGTTTGATCGTAATTTCGGTTTCGGTCTTTTTTTTGTCCTTTGTTTAGTTTCAGCTTGGGCTTTCATTCCCTAGTTAAAAAAAAAAAGGGGGGCCATGACTGAGCTCGCGTCTGGCGCCGTGAGCTCACTGCTGGCGATCATCCGCAACGAGGCGGCTCTTCTCGGTGGCGTCCGGGACGACGTGCAGTTCATCAAGGAGGAGATGAAGAGCATGAACAGCTTTTTGGCGCACTTGGCGAAGAGCGCTCCGCAGGGTGGAGAGCACGACGAGTTGCGGGGAGGCAAACCTGATAAGAATCAAGCAACATGTGAACCTGATGTTCCACCTGATAAGAATCAAGCAACAGGTGAACATGCAGGTGTAATGGATCACAATGGAGAGGCTTATTTTACAGAAATAGAGCAGAAGATTGACGAAATCAAGCAGGAATTTAAAAAACAGCTGAAAATCAAAGGGATTATGGACAAGATCAAACATCACTTGATCGAGTACAAGATCAAACATGACTTACCGAATGAGTGCCCCCTCATTATCCTAAAATTTGATGATATGATGGATGGATCCAGATGGGAGGAGTTCAACCTTGATTGGACAATGGGTTGCAGAAGGTTTGACACTCAAGGAAGATTGGTCCAGTTCTGTGCATCAGGCAAAGATTTGATGCCCTCATCCATCGGTATCTTGTTTGTCCTGTTGATATTGGTGGCACAGGAAAGGTGAAGAGCTGTGTGGTAAATGATCCAGTTCATGGGTTCATTACCACAATTGCCAGAAAACAACATATTGTGGAGACACGCCTATCACATCATTTGGCTCGCCACTTCTCCATTTTCAATGATCTTCGACTCCGCAGCTCTGATGGAATTCACACATTCTTCCAAAGCCTCTCACGATCATCTCGAGTATCCCTACTAAAGGTGCTAGATCTAGAAGGTTCTCAGTGCTTTGGTGTTAAGAACCAGCGGTACCTCAAGGACATCTGCAGCAAGATGTTACTGCTCAAGTATCTGAGCCTAAAGAAAACAGAAATTACCCAACTGCCCAGTGAAATCAACTGCCTCCGTGAGCTAGAGGTATTGGATATCCGAGAAACTAAGGTGCCTGCAAATGCAACGGTTAATGTTCTGCTCTTGAAGCTAAAGCGTCTACTTGCTGGTCACATTGATTCAAGTCCAAGAAATTCTGGCACTAGCGTTCAGATTCCTCACAGGATAGACAAGATGGTAAACATAGAGGTACTATCTAATGTCAAGGCCCAACGCCGTGATGATTTGGAAGATACTGGAAAGCTATGGCAGCTAAGGAAGCTAGGTGTGGTTGTTGATGATAAGAGAGGTCACCTTGGGAATTTGCTTAAAGCAATCAGCAACCTACATGAGTGCATCCGTTCTCTGACAATCACTATTTCCACAACCACACACAAGGATACTCCTTCAAACCCAGAGTTACCAGATCATATTGGCTCTGACCTTCCCCATCCCAAGAAACTTGAGAGTCTAAGCATCAGTGGAGCCAGGCATCTTTTTCCATTGTTGATCAAAAGTGATAATAACAAGCTTGCCAAGGTAACTCTAAGTAGCACACCACTGAACCAAGATGATCTGGAGGTCCTCGCCAAGCTACCCAAGTTACAGTGTGTTAGGCTCCAACACATTTCATGCATAGTGAGTGAGCTCATCTTCAAGGAAGAAAATTTCAAATGTCTCAAGTACCTACTTATTGAGGGCTTTAACTTGACTAATATCACTTTTGAGGATGGATCAGCCTGTGAGCTCGAGAAAATGGTTTTATCTTCCACCAGCATAGAGTCTGTCTCTGGAGTTGATGTGCTTCCGAAATTCAAAGAGCTTGAGTTGAACAACAGCCATGTCCCGAATGAGTTGAAAGAAGCCGTTGAAAACAATAAAAGGATAATTCTTAAATGTAATGAACCATGAACTCAAGACCAGGCAAAACGGAGATGAACAAGAGGATGAAGACAATGCTGCAACATCCCCATTCTGCTGGAAGAAACAGGTTTGTCGCCAGCGGAGCATATCTCCTTTGATCCCATGGTGTGGTTTGTGTGTGCTAGTGTGGATTGCCATCTGCTGCTTGTCTGTTTATTTCTTTCTGCTGTGCGTGAGCGTGTCTTTATGTTCTGCATGATGTAATAATTCTTGTTGTACCCTGTTTTTTTCTTCCTTACTCTGTTTTGGTCTATTTCCTAGTTCGAGTCAGTGTAAGCTCAAGTCTTGATTGTTCAAGCCGGAGCAAGTCCTTAGCTAGTTGGCACAACATGCACTGGCGTGTGGGATGACACACGATTCAGCGAGCAAGTTAGCTGTGTCATTGGTGCGGCACGCCCTGACGTGCGGGATGGCGCACGAAGTGGACGGGCGTGGCGTACGTAGTGGCTTGAAGGCCACAATTTCATTTGCGTCTTGTCTATTTAAGTTTCAATATAATCGAGAAAATGCTGCCACTTGACAGCACCAAAAAATCTCTTCATGTTCGAGTTCTTCATCATCAAGTTCAGAGCAAGTTTGTTTGTTTGGTTTGTTTCTAACACTCCATGTGTTTCAACTGAGTGTGTCCGGTTACTTGCTATGCATAAGTGCCTTGTGCCTCTAATTGAGCTAAAATGGTCGTGTCTCTGCTCGGATTTGCATTTGTGTGGTTTTCATTTGTCAAACACCATATGCATTCATGGACATTTTTGTGTAATAATAAGTATAATATTTGTTTACACATTTGACTTCTAATTAATATAATGTGTGCTACATTATACAGTTTTCTTATTCCTGAAAAAGGAAATATTATGCAGCATGCTTGACTGGATTCTGAAACTCAACGATGAACTGGGTAAATGGGGGAAGCAAAGTTTTATGCAGATTACTTATGCATGATCTGCAATCTGTTTGCACCTTCCGATTGCACTGCTAGCAGTATGCATGATCAAGGAAAAACAGACGTTGTTTTCAGTCGTATGTTATCGTGCTTTTGGTTGGTCCATGTGGTTTCTCTCCGTTTTTTTTATGATGGAGAAGCAAGTATAGTTCAGAAGTTAATATAACTGAGTCCACGATTTAGCAAGCTGCATGCCTTGATCGATGGGGAAGCCAGGTCTTCAGACAAAAGGAATGATTTGTGCAGGAGGACAGCTTCAACCAAGCATTTAGCTAGCGAAGCAGCGGATATATGCATGCATACCGGAGTTATAATAATGAGCAGGAATAATTTTCAAGCAGTGAGACTACCAAGTGGCAATTACCTTGCATCAATGGCTGTCTTGGCGTGATCGACAATGTTGAAAAACTGGAGGCTGGAGTTGTTGGGGACGCACATCCTCCACCATGTGTTCACCATCAAGTCAATCAGCACCCAGCCTTTACAGCCCTGAACGGTGTTTAAGGTGTTATGTGTAATCAGCTACAAGTACTCGCTCTCCTCTGCTCCGGAATAGACGTTCTAGAATAGGGACCTGATGTCCTTTATATAGATGAGAACTCGATAGTGACGCTTCTTTCTTCACCTTTCCTTCCATGACCACTTGATCTGAGTTCCTCCCATTCTCCCCACCAATGAGCATCTCCTTTGCGCCTCGCCCGCACCCTGCCTTCCTCCTCCCATCTCCAGCGGCTCTGGCTTAACACTTCCTGCTGCACTAACCCAATGAGCTGCGACACCCCTGCCCCAACACTGCTCACACAATGGTTGACATGATGCTAGCTATAGTTTAAGAGGTTTTCTTATTAGAACCATTTATAAAGATATAACAAGATTGGAAGCAAGCAATAGTCAAACTGCCATCCTAACTGGAGTGTAATTCACTAGTAGGCTAGTAGATACTAGATACTAGATACTAGCTACAATAGTTTAGTAACAGGGCCAAGTACAACATGACACCATAACCAACCATGGGTCAGTAAGCATGGCTCAAGTAGGAAATGCAAAATATCCCAAAAGAATTTGAGAAGATAACTATCAGGATATCACTACAACATAGAAGAACAGTTTTAATTGTTGGGTAGTCAAACAAAATAGAAAAAAAGGTTAGGAGAGTAAAAAAAAAGGGGGAAATTACAAAGTATAAAAATGAAGTACAAACAGAACAATGGATACTACAAAAACTATAGATAAGTAGTTCATCATGTGCCCAATCATGATGTGTTGAGTGTTGACAAGAAGCAGAAAGGGGTAGCAAGGAGATGAAACAGCAGATTATGTGTATAATTACTACAATTTTTTACTATTTCTAGTTGTCCAGAGGAAATCTGATATCACAATACTTTCGTTGTTTACATTAATTTCAGTGCAAAAAGAACATTTATATTATCTGAGCCTAAGATATTCTTTGCATCTGTGTTTGGAAAATTTATACTTCAATTTTCAGGTTCTTAAAAGAAAACTAAAAATGACAAGTCCCGACACTTTCAGAGAAGAACCAATAGCGATGTCTCTCCTAGACACTCCCTAGTTTACATGGGGAGTAATACATTTCATGGAGTATGCTGTGATGTTCTATCCACATATACAAAAAGAAGAACAAGGTCATATGCTGAAACTCGGTTCAGTAAATATTATAACATCTTATGGCTATGGAACCTTCTTAACCAAAGTATCCAAAAATATAGAAAACTATGGTTCATCAAACTAACATGACAGACTGAAAGTTTAGCAACACTTTTAAATATTTAGTCCACATGAAACACTGAGAAATCATCCATACTTGACAATTTTCAAGAGAATTCCAACGAGCGTACAAACTCACTGTTACTGTCAAAACCCAAAGTTGATGCCTAGTGATTTAACTGAGCTCCCTTTTCTTCTGTGAGGAACTAAAGGTCCATTTTAACCCATAGCACTAGTTAGGAATCTTCACCAAGACAACTAATAACAGGGAACCAAGTCCACAGGATGATCAACACATTAGTCTATAGATCAGTATAAACATCAGATTTCCATGATCCCAAAGTACACAATCAATTGTTGGTTGTAGGGTGTCACATCCTGATTTTTGTTTCAGGATTTATAAATTATTATTAGAATTTATATTAAATGTTCATTAATTTGCAAGTGAAGTTAAATGTGGGAAATAAAATTTCCTAAATTTAAAGCATGGATAGAATTAATTTTTATTAAATTTTCCATGATTAAGTGTACTCTCTGAAATTTTCTCGGATTTTTTCGGAGCTCAATTCCTAAATGATACAAAGAACACATCGGTAATTATTTGATCATTAATGATCTAATTATAATTGTTAAGAGCTTTTCTTGTTCAAAAATCCTTAAATTATAAATTGTTGTTTAAAAGGAATTATTAGAAATGATCTTAAAAGCCTAAAAGAGAAGATCTAATTTTAATTTGCTAAATCTCAATATAAAATTGGGCTAGATAAAATTTTGTTAAATACTTCTCTTGAATCTTTAGTTCCTAGATTTTTCTGGGATTTATTTGAGCCAAGAAAGTATTTTTAATAAATGGAATTGCATTTCATGAATAATTTAAATTGAAAAAGGTTTTTAAAAGTCTTCTTTTGGCTTTGGGCCGAAAGTCGGCCCAAAACCTTCTCTCTCTCTCTCCCCGGCCCAAGCCGGCCCAGTCAGCCCGCAGCCGCCCGCGCGCGCGCGCTCGGCCGCTGACAGGTGGGTCCCACCTATCGGACTTGTCTTCCTCCTCGCGCCGTCGCCCGGCCGGAACCCTAGCCGAGCCGCGCCGCCGTCTCCTTCCAAATCCGGCCGCCCCTTTCCGTTTCCGATGGAATTAATAGAGGGGAAATGATCCCCGGGATCCCCTCTATCTTTTCTCTTATGGAATCATCGCCTAATTCGGTTTGGAAATCCGTGGATTCGATCTCGAATCGGATTCGTCTCTCTCCTCCGAACCCTAATCTTTCCTTCTCGTCGCCGGTCGCCGTGGGCCTTCGTCGCCGCCTTCCAACCCCTATAAAAGGACCCCCAAGCCCGCCGCTACCCGCCGCCACCCTCGTCTTCGTCCGCCGTCGCCCGTAGAGCCCTAGCCCCGTGAGACCTCGCGCTGCCGTCGCCGCCGCAGCTCCAGCCGTGCGCCGCCGTCGCTCCAGTCGTCATCGCTGCTCGGGAAGGTCGCCGTCGTGGTCGCCGTCGCGTCGCCGTCCTCGTCCGCCCCTCCGCCGTCGCTGTCGACCGCCGGAACACCGTCGCCATCGTCGAGCCGAAGAGCGCCGCCGCTTCTTCCTCGTCGCCGACGTCGTCCGGTCATCTTCCGCCGCTGTTTTGGTCATCAGTGAGTTCGCCGCGTCGCTCGCATCATTTTGGTGCTCTCCGTTCGCACTGCCGCGCCGTTGTTCGCCGGCGAGCTTGCACGCCCGAGCCGCCGCCGGTGGTGACGTCACCGCTGACGTCATCGTCGTCGTCTCCCGTGGTCCGGCCGTGGACCGGTCGATCTTGGCCGTCCGTTGTGGATAGGATCGATCTCGGCCGTTCGTTTCTGTGAGCCGCCGCCGTGCACCCGGTCCACCGCGAACCTAGCCGCTGACGCAATAATTCCCTTTTCCTTTTCAAAAATAATTCATTATTGCGTCATATTTCAATTAAAACCCATATAAGTGTTTTAATCCGATTTAATCTTTAAAAATTCGTAACTAATTCATCTTAGCTCGGATTTAGTTGGTTCAAGTCTCTAAATTTTTCTAAAATTGAGATCTACATGTTAAAAATATCCACATGTACTGTTCATGCTTGTTTATGTGCTGTTTTGGTGTTTTTGCTCTTTTCTGTTTAGATTCCGACGTTTCCGGAGAGTTCGTTTTCGCAGGAGAAGAATTTGAAGAGTTCCAAGGCTAGCAAGGCAAGTCACACAGATCCCAAACAACCCTTTGAGCATGTTGATCCCGTTTAAAGCTATTGTTTCTATTCAACTATTGCATTTATTTTCGAATGTCATTGGGTGGAATTAACCTATTGTTTGTTATAGCCCTTTCGTTCTTGATTACTTTATTCCTTGATACCTTGGGTTATTATAACTTGACTAGTTGAGCTTTATATATTGGTTCAGCTAGATATTAGATATGATTGCTTAGCCATGATTAGAAACATTAGCACACTATTGGGATAACTTATGACTCACTATTATTTAATGATGGCTTAATGATAGTTCACGATGGTCAATCGTGATTGATTAATTAATTAAATTGGTAATTAAAATATGATTAATGGTGGGTTGTGAGCACATGGTTTTGAAGGTCGTGCTCATAGCAATTAAGGACCGGTTCGCGAGCTACTGTTGTGAAACATTAACCGTGCCAACCACAAGCCAGCGTGGGCAACGGCTTTACCTTTTGTATAGCATGATTCATTGCGGAGCACCAGACTGAGAAGTGGCGGAGATAAGCCCACGGGGGTCGCTGGGGAGTCCATGCCTTGTTTATAAGGGGGTGATTATGATCCAGGAACGGTGCACTGTGGTGGATTGTGTTGTGCGAGGGGTACTGTCACAGCCCCTTTCCGAGGTACCGTGGTGGTATTGAGGCACATGGTGACATGTTGTGGGGCTGTGTCTCGTGGGTACAGTGGTACACCTCTGGCCAGAGTAAAACTATTCGAATAGCCGTGCCCGCGGTTATGGACGGGTTGAGCAATGTTTTTCGTGATTAGTCTCACACCTCTCACAATAATTATTGATGCTATAACTGGTAATAATTTGTTTAGCTCCTGGTTTGGAGTTAGATCTGTACAGCCGGATATGGTTGTTCAGGATGGTTGGGCCTGTGCAGCATGGGTGTGCTGTTCAGTGTTGATTAAAATTTCTGATTAATTACTCTACTGTTTTACTACTCTTAACTCTTTGCTAAATGCTGCTTTCGCAAATGAGACTATATTGTGCCATCCTTTGGTATCCTTATGCATTTGCATATTTGCTGTGTGGCTTGTTGAGTATGTCATATGCTCATTCTTGCAATAATCAATCAACCTCAGTTGAAGACATGTTGCGAAGGAGAAGACGTTTGGCTTATACCCCAGTTGAGCTGCCTGTGGGAGTGGAGCTGAAGCCATCGCTAGACCGTTAGTTCCGCTGCTGTTTTTCTTTTCTTTTGTAAGTATGTAACGTTATTATTATGATGGATTTGTATATTAAATTGTCAGTTTGTGTACCTCGGCTGATTCCTGGACGAGGATTTTATGCACAAATTAGTTCGGAAATTATTAGTGAATTTCCGGGCGTGACATAGGGCAGGAGTTACATTGCCAATATCTACAGCAAGGAGCCCCTCTGATCTTCACCGTTAGATAATTTACTCTTAACACATTAATTAAGGGTAGTAAACTACTTAACCACTGAAGACATCATGATTGCTACTAGTTTACAATCCCAATTCATATAACTTAAATGCAACCATATTAGTATAGAGTTAATCTCGGATAGCAAACTCTACTGATTATTCAAAGCTATGAAGGATCATTCTAAATCAGAAATATGGAACACGGCATCCAATCCACCCACCAAACGTCACTAATTCACCATAGAACCTACAAAAACGACATTTCTCACCAAGCAATGCACGCTAGTAAATCATCTCAAGCTCAAAATTAGGATCAGGAAACCAAGCTGACTAAATCGATCATTGCGATGGCACCCTTCTAGCTCTAAACTAACGCCCAAATCCTCATCAGTCATCACAAAAATTTATGAGATGCGGAGCAATTAAATTGGCACGAAATGAAGGCGAGGCGCCTCACCTCGGCGAGCCACCGGTCGTCCTCGGCGTCGGCGATCGCGAAGCCGGTCCACCCGCCGGCGCCGTCCTCGAGCTCTCGCACGAGCCCCTGCAGCGACGCGCACAGGCGGAGCCACGGGGAGTAGAACTCCAGCACGGCCGCGTCCCTGCCGCCCGCCAGCGCCCGCTGCTCCACCTCCGCCGCCAACCCGGGGATCCTCCTCCTCCTCCTCACCCCCACCGCCGCCTCCTCCGTCCGACGAGGGGGAGGGGAGGTCCCCGGCGACGAGGCGGCCCTGCGCCAATGTGCGGATGGACTTGAAGAGCCAGGGAAGCTCGAGGTCGCCGCAAGGCCATGGCCACTTGAAGCAGACGAAGGGAGGGGGGCGTCGCGGCGGCGGCCATCTCTCCGGCGAGAGAAGCGGTGGAAGCGCCGACGAGGCGGCGGCGGATTGGTCGAAGGCGTGGGGGATGAATGGACGGCGCAGCGCAACGCAGCACAACTCGATCCAACGGCTAACATCTAACTCACTGGAGTACTGGACGCGGCCTCTACTTTTGCGATATTTCCACAAAATACCCCAAAATTAATTTTCGTTTATAAATATGCCCTTTGGCTATGGGGCCATTGTGTGCTATAGCTGTCACTCCCTTTTTCTGAAATGAACCATAGTTCAATCTCAATTCATATCACCAACCCTTTACTCCTGCTCTCTAATGCCACTGAATATTTTGCTCACTTCGCTGGCATAACTGGAATTCTTTGCAGAGTACTCCATCCATCTCATGTTATAACTCGCTTTAACTTTTCTTTTATTTTTTAGAAAAATATAGCAACACAAAACAAACGTAGTATTAAAATATATTCAATGTGACATTTAATAAAGCTAATTTAGTATCGTAAATGTTATTGTTTTCTTTATAAACTTAGTCAAGCTAAAAATTGTTTAACTAGAAAAAATGACTTATAATATAAAACAGAGGAAGTACTTAGGATGAGAGCTCCTTTGGAACAAGGTTCCGAGGGAATTTGGTACTGTAGGATTTTTGAAGGATTTAATTTTATAGCAACATTTTCTACATGGTCATTTGGATTGTAGAGTTGGGCTGGCAAATTTTATATGGAACCATTCCTTTCCTTTACTAGATGATGTTTTGTGCTTTGTTGCGGGATATATGTTAGATAATAGAGAAATGATGAAATGATTTGGATTGAAATATTATGAAAATGATTTAAGAATTATGATTTAGCATGTGTATGTTTAGTTTTAGAATGAAATAAATTGTAGATATAATTACTATATGGTTGCATGTTGAGTTTTGTGTGCTTAGTGGGTTGATGTGGTATGCTTACATGTGTTTTAGGAGTGCTAATAAATACTTTGCTTGCATGTTGAGCTTTAGGTATTTTGTGGGTATTAGCTTTATAGAAAGAAGAGATTTGCTGAAGGATTTTTAATATGAGCTCTAACCTTATGTTTTGATTTCCATGGGGAAGTCGAAGGCATTTTTTTTCTATTCATCTCTCCTCTTAACTCTATAAGGGCTTCTTCGGTTCACAAGTTTTTCGAATCACAAGAATAGAAAAAACATAAAAATTACGCAGGAATACATGTGCAAAATAGATGATAGGAAAAAAAGTAGAAATGGACTCTCGCAAAAGAGTCTATTTCGTGGAAAAGCTCCAAGCAAACCGTCATAACATCATCGACGATGTATGCCACCCCTCCTCTTTACCATCATCGGGATTCTAAAAATCAAACCTAATCATCATTTTAGTTCTGATTTATAGTTTTTAGATGTGACATCAACTGCTGCCACCCTACTCCTAGCCTTTATAACCCGCTTGCTACCCGCTCTATTTTTTGTCATTTGCCACCCCTTATCTCACTCGTCCATCTCAACTACCGTCTCCATGCTTCTTTGTTACTCATCACTTGTCTACCTGCCTCGTCGCTTCTCATCTTTGTTATCGTTGGCACCTTATAAAATCAAACCTTATCTCATCATTGGAGTTCCTTTTTATAGTTTTTAGACATTGCTTCTACCACTTTACTCCTTTGTTACTCCTTTGCTCGCTCTCTCATGGCAATCACCACATCCCTGCCCCTGTGTTGCCTATCCACTCGTTAGCCCGATCTGCCTTTCTTCTTTGTTGTCATCGGTCCCTAACAGCTAACAAAAGCGAAACATATCTTATTTATAATTATATTAAAGGTCTCACCAGCTTTTTTTAGATCATATTTTTCTATGGACTTTCCTTGGCATGCAGTATTTCCTACCTCCGTCTCATAATAAATGTATTTGTTAGATTCAAATTCGTCCCAAAATAATTATCACGATAGAGTACTAACTATCTCATTAATCATTTTTTATCTGAATTTCTCCCTATTCTACCCTAAAACCATCATCCTACAACCTATACACAATTTAGTGAGGGACACATTAGTCTTTCTTTTCAAACCTTAATATATACTAAGCAATCTAGAATTGCAATTATTTTAGGACAGAGGTAGTACTTATTTAATCTAGCTAGATCATAGCTTGTGCATTTACGCATTTAATCGATAATATGTTTATATAACTAATGACAATGTCATTGAGTACCTCCTATTAAATTTCAACTACTATGATTTTGATCTACCATGATCTATGTCACATCCTGATTTTTGTTTCAGGATTTATAAATTATCTAATAAATTATTATTAGAATTTATATTAAATGTTCTTTAATTTACAAGTAAAGTTAAATGTGGGAAATAAAATTTCCTAAATTTAAAGCATGGATGGATTTAATTTTCATTAAATTCTCCATGATTAATTATACTCTCTGAAATTTTCTCGGATTTTTCAGAGCTCAATTCCTAAATGATACAAAGAACAGTTCAGTAATTATTTAATCATTAATGATCTAATTATAATTATGTTAAGTGCTTTTCTTGTTTAAAAATCCTTAATTTATAAATTGTTGTCTAAAAGGAATTATTAGAAATGATCTTAAAAGCCTAGAAGAGAAGATCTAATTTTAATTAATAAATTCCAATATAAAATGGGGCCAGATAAAATTTCATTAAATACTTTGCTTAATTCTATAGTTCCTAGATTTTTCTAGGATTTATTTGAGCCAAGGAAGTATTTTTAATAAATGGAATTGCATTTCATGAATAATCATAATTGAAAAAGGTTTTAAAATCCTCTTTTGGCTTTGGGCCGAAAGTCGGCCCAAAACCCTCTCTCTCTCCTCCCCGGCCCAAGCTGGCCCGCAACCAGTCCGCCGCGCCCCTCCCTCCTCTCTCTCAGCCGCTGACAGGCGGGACCTACCTGTCGGACTCGTCGTCTTCCTCCGGCCGCCGCCGCCCGAACCCTAGCCGAACCGCGCCGTCGTCTCCTTCCAAATTCGGCCGCGCCTTTCCTTCTCCGGTGAAATCAATTGAGGGGAAATGTTTCCCGAGATCTCCTCTACCTTTTCTCTTTTGGAATCATCCTCTAAATCGCTTTGGAAATCCGTGGATTCGAGTTCGATTCGGATCGGTCTCTTTCCTCCGAGCCTTAACTTTCCTTCTCGTCGCCGGTCGCCGTGGGCCTTCGCCGCCGCCTCCTTGCCCCTATAAAAGGACCCCCAAGCTCGCCGCTACCCGTCGCCACCCTTGCTTTCGCCTCTCGCCGTCGGTAGCGCCCTAGCACCGTGAGACCACGCGCCGCCGTCGTCGCCGTCGCTCCAGCCGTGCTTCGCCGTTGTTCTAGTCGTCGCCGTCGCTCGGGAAGGTCGCCATCGTGGTCGCCGTCGCGTCGCTGTCCTCGTCCGCCCCTCCGCCGTCACTGAAGACCGCCGGAGCATCGCCGTCGTCGTCAAGCCGAAGGACTCCGCTGCCTTTTCCTTGACGCCGCCGCCGTCCGTTCATCTTCCGCCGCTGTTTTGGTCGTCGGTGAGTTCGTCGCGTCGCTCTCTACGTGCTGGTGCCCTCCGTTTGCGTCCTTGCGCCGTCGTTCGCCGGCGAGCATGCGCGCCCGAGCCGCCGCCGGTGGTGACGTCACCGCTGACGTCATCGTCGTCGTCTCTCGTGGTCCGGCCGTGGACTGGTCGATCTCGGCCGTCCGTTTTGGATAGGATCGATCTCGGCCGTTCGTTTCCGTGAGCCGTCGCCGTGCACCCGGTTCACCGCAAACCCTAGCCGCTGACGCAATAAACCTTTTTTTTTCTTTTCAAAAATAATTCATTATTGCGTCATAATTCAATTAAAATCCATATAAGTGTTTTAATCCGATTTAATCTTTGAAAATTCATAACTAATTCATCTTAGCTCGGATTTAGTTGGTTCAAGTCTCTAAATTTTTCTAGAATTGAGATCTACATGTTAAAAATATCCACATGTACTGTTCATGCTTGTTTATATACTGTTTTGGTGTTTTTGCTCTTTTCTGTTTAGATTCCGACGTTTCCGGAGAGTCCGTTTTCGCAGGAGAAGAATTTGAAGAGTTCCAAGGCCAGCAAGGCAAGTCACACAGATCCCAAATAACCCTTTGAGCATGTTGATCCCGTTTAAAGCTATTGTTTCTATTCAACTATTGCATTTATTTTCGAATGTCATTGATTGGAATTAACCTATTGTTTGTTATAGCCCTTTTGTTCTTGATTACTTTATTCCTTGATACCTTGGGTTATTATAACTTGACTAGTTGAGCTTTATATATATTGGTTCAGCTAGATATTAGATATGACTGCTTAGCCATGCTTAGAAACATTAGCACACTATTGGGATAACTTATGACTCACTATTATTTAATGATGGCTTAATGATAGTTCACGATGGTCAATCGTGATTGGTTAATTAATTACTTGCCAACTAAAACTTGATAATGGTGGGTTGTGAGCACATGGTTTTGAGAGTCGTGCTCATGACAATTAAGGACCGGTTCACGATTTTCGGTTGTGAAACATTAACCGTGCCAACCACAAGCCAGCGTGGGCAACGGTTTTACCTTTTGTATAGCATGGTTCATTGCGGAGCACCAGACTGAGAAGTGGCGGAGATAAACCCACGGGGGTCGCTGGGGAGTCCATGCCTTGTTTATAAGGGGGTGACTATGATCCAGGAACGGTGCGCTGTGGTGGATTGTGTTGTGCGAGGGGTAATGTCACAGCTCCTTTCCGAGGTACCGTGGTGGTATTGAGGCACATGGTGACATGTTGTGGGGCTGTGTCTTGTGGGTACAGTGGTACACCTCTGGCCAGAGTAAAACTATTCGAATAGCCGTGCCCGCGGTCATGGGCGAGTCTAACAATGTCTTTCGTGATTAGTCTCACACTTCTCACCATAATAAATGATGATATAATTGGTAATAATTTGTTTAGCTCCTGGTTTGGAGATAGATCTGTGCAGCCGGGTATGGTTGTTCAGGATGGTTGGGCCTGTGCAGCATGGGTGTGCTGTTCAGTGTTGATTAAAATTTCTGATTAATTACTCCACTGTTTTACTTCTCTTAAATGTTTTGCTAAATGCAGCTTTTGCAAATGAGCTTATATTATGCCATCCTTTGGTATCCTTGTGCACTTTGCATATTTGCTGTGTGGCTTGCTGAGTATGTC